CGATGCTCGGACTGAAGGCTTCGTTTGTGATGCTCGATATCTCCTTCCGCCCTCCAAGCGTTCAAAAACTCGTGGTATTTTTGATTAGCTAGCTGTTGATGAACGCAAATTCTCATCGCGTAAAGTAAAGCGACATCACTTGTCCATTTCATTCGAAAAATTACAATATTCAAAAAGATGAGCAAAAGATGGGCAAATCCTTTGAAAATCTAGTTGTATTTGGTAGAGCTGGGCCAGACTGCAAACACCATTAAGTTGACCGATCCTGCAACAATTGCAACCACAAAATATCAACCCATATTTTCTGTTTGGTTTAGACCACAAAATTGAAGTAATGGGGTTGGGTTATAGTTTAAATCATCCAAATTTTTGGTAGTGCACTTTTCAGGTGAATAGGCCGGGGAAGGGGAATGGGGCTAAATGCATATGAAATTCTGGTTGGTGTGGTACCTAAGCCGGGGAGCTGGATAGGAGGGACCCATTTGCCTGACACACGTGTGATACAACTTAAGCCGCAGCCCTCGAGCTGCGACACGTGTTATGCTACCAATCCAACAACAGCAGCCTCTGAGTGACAGAGGGGTCAGAATACAAACAAACTTGCCAATAAAAGTCGAAACTTGGACTTTTCTCACGCGGTGAACAGATGGTTTAGTAACCAAAAGGGGTACATGATAGAATACGAATAGTACCCCATCCACGATTATGACAAAAGAAATTACAACAGGCATCCCTCACCTTAGATGCCTTTTGTAGAAAATTTAGATCCACCTATCAGTGATTTTATATCAATGACAAATCTGAACGATTGGATTTGTCAAGTATTGCGTATGAAACATTAATAGAGCTTTATTTTTAGTCGTTTTATAAGGGCTAATTGTATAAATATTCTCATTTGATTGCCAACAATAAATGGCTAGTAGATTTTGTTGGTAACGTCACATGTTGGCGATCGCCATTGCAACATCTTGTAAACTGGATAGATGACACCTTAGTTAAGTGGTTTCATCAGAAGCAACCATAGCTAAGCTAAGCTGCATTGCAAAAAAAATCACAATCTTGCCGCCATGGGTCAAAATTCCTCCGAAAACCCTTGGTTTGCTTAGACGTAAGCATACAGGTACACAAAACGCACGAACCAACAGAGGTCATCGGTTATTCACTGCCAAAGCAACGGCCAGAGACGACCTGGGTCATAAAACGCGTCGCAACCAACACCCATAGGCCGTCAGCATCATCTGCACCACCACCACCACTACCGCTACCACCGGCAGCAGCACCACCACTCACCAGTTTCCTCTACATTTCGTCAAGATTACTTGCTTACTCACAAAGTGCATGTCCGATAAATCACTGACACGAAACAATTTCAGGTAGAGTGAGAGTGACAAGTCTATGCTCCTTTGCATTGTCCTTAGAGGATTATATTTTAAGGAAAACTTGGGAGCAAAAAATGCGCTACGATCTGAAGAGCAATTATGCAGTTGTGACTTTGTATGGTAAATAAATTACTTCTACTGGTCAGCTTTACTGAAAACATCTAGTTTGGCCATTGCGTCTAATTGCTAATCAGCATCAACAACAGGCACAGAGGAAGGCAAATAGTAAAAAATTTAAAGTAGAGTATGACATTCGTACTTTAGGGAAGGTAGAGTTCTCAATTGGAGGCTTTTGACCAGCTACTCACTGTTGTGGCATGCTATTGTAAATACTAAATCGTTCCTCAACTAAAGCTTGTAATATATATGTTCAATAAGATTCATTGTTCAAAGATAGACAAGATTGAGAATCGGTACCTTGTGCTTTCTGAAGGAAGGAACAGAGTTTATACAAGTGAAAGCCACAAACCAACGTTACCTTAGTTACACCGTCGGTACCATTGAAAATCCCAAACATTCCGACCTATACCTCCTTTTAATTACTTGCCTCATTATCTATGCACTAATTTTGTGATTGATAAGTATAAGACGTAAATAAAAAAATGACTCTCACAACGTGGTTATGCTTGGTGCCATGACATCATCTCACTCGTAACAGGGAACAAATGTCTCTAACCGTATCACAGACCTATCTACGGCCATCCGAGGTATTCCATACTAACCTGGGATAGGAGTAGCTTTCCATCGGTCACCACCGCTTAAGCTCACTGTAGCGTGAACTCGTAACGGGGATAAGTTGCGCTGTATTAAGAACAGTAAAACCGGTAAGCCACTGAAGTTGATGCGCGTGAACGTAGTTGGGCGCCTGTTGTCATCTACTCGGTGTGGGAAATGTGCTGCCCAAACAACAGGACGGGGTCGGATGTGGGTGCTATTACCTATTCCATCCCCTGCCCTTCCTCGCTTGTCTCTACGCCAGCTGTCAAGCCATGGAGAGTGGGGGTAGGAATCCACTTATCATAGCAAACTGGTAATGCAGCCTGGCGACTGTCCATAGGGCTCTTATCGATTTCCTCTTGGCACTTTAGAAGGGCGGCATGGCGTGGGTTCTCTTGCTATGGCCCTTCATTACCCATCAACCTACATCGTCGATGTAATTGTGGCTATCACTTCACAGCGGTCATGCATCACTAGATCAATTGCGAGCTCGCCAGGTGCGAGGTGGACCACAGATTAAAAAAAATAATGCTAATAGCATAATTGTTAGTCCGCATGCGGTATAATTTGAGCTTTTTCGTTTTTTTTTTACTTTGAAGGGAGCTCAAAACATGAGGTGCACTTGCTTTTAATGAATAGCGATCTAGGAAGGGCCTTTCAAAATCAATTCCAGTTTTGCTAGCGAGTCAGTACAATTTTAGGTGAGTCCAAAAAAACACCATTACTTACTTTTTATTATGTTATCAGCCACGATAAGTCTGAGTTAAAATGAAGAAATTTGAGGTCTAATGCCCCCTTACAATTGTTATATACTTTCAAACAACTACATAAAATTAATGGAAATTGCCTCTAAAAATCAAAACAATTTTTCTACCATTAGTGCAAGACTATTTGATCTGTTTGAAGTTTAAAAGTTTCGGGGAAATTTTACTGCTTAACATTCTTGATAATTTAGATAGACACTTAATGTTATTGTAATAAAAGCTATCTGTTCTTTGGCATATTTACCATTCATTATATTAACTAAATTTAGTCGTGATTGCCAGGGTGATAACTCGAAAGCGTTTATTGCAAAGGCAAATACAGGACTAATAAGTGGTTGGTTGTGCAGTCTGGCCCCAGTTAACATTGCATGCTACCTGACAGTGTTGGACATGGATACCGAAATGGTGATTTGAAGACGGGACTGAGTCCTATGTGTCGTCAGCGCACCCACTCCGGAGAAGAAGCAGGGCTGCTGGCGTACCAGCGATCGATACGAGGTCCGGGCAAGGGTGTGGGGGTGGTAGTCTTCCGGCCACTGAGAAAGGCAATAAAAATCACATAAATATCGGGCGTGCGCAATCGGGTTGAAAGGTGGGCTACGATTCAATGTATGCTGGTGCCGAACTTCAACATCTGGCGGTACATTCGGACGACGCATTCTCATTTTTATTCGCCTTTCAAACATAAAGTGATTTGCATTATAATAAATACATCATTCTTGTTCAAATTCGTTAAATAAATGTTTCGAGCTGTGATTGGAGTGATCAGTTTTTTAGTGTTAGATGTTGCCAAAAATATGCACACTGAGTATACTTCTCTGCCTAGTTTAATCAACACCGTTTATATAAACTCTATTTAATTAATTTTAACTTATTTTGTTGCCTTTAGGTGTGAATGGCAAAACCCTAAATTTTACGAGTCTTATGGGAATAAATTTCCCAGAAATTAAGGCAGTATACATTTCAAGATAGCCAAAACGAAACAGAAAGTTACCTGCACTATACTTTTGTGTAGTTGTGCAGACAACATGCAGCCATTAGTTGCATTAGTAGGTGTATGTAATTAAAAAGCCTCATCAATGGAGCGGATTAATCAACAACTAAGAGACTCACCCACGCAATTCCGTGTCCCAAATTCTCCTCCCAGATTTAAACCTAAATTACAGGCCTATTTTTAGTCCCATTAAAGAAAATTGTAAAAGGAGAATTTTCCATTTTTGATCACCATTTTGTTCGTGTAGGTGTGGGTAGGGTCGATGTAGACCATAGATCCCTAGAAGTCCATTCTGCTATCCAATATGACTGGACATCTAGTGCGAAGGCATTTCTTATTTACATGGATCAACAGACTATCTCTATTAGCCAGAGATGGCATCTGCAAAGGACCAAAATGGTCATAATGTTCTTTGAAGACCTCGTCTATAATGCACTTTAAGTGTTCCGACTGTGAGTTATAAATTTTATATTAATTTTAATTAAACGTGTATGGTTTGCATTACGAAGCGTATGTTTTAACAAAAACTAATGTGGCCATTCGGGTCCTTTGGTCAACTCCCTGGATTGCTTTGGGATGATCAATTTGTAAGACAGTATCATAAAATAAAGATTAAGTATAATCAGAGCACACCGGAATTTCATAATCTTTTGCTAAGATTTATTAGCATTTTAGCATGAAACTAGCCGTATCATGCATTGTGAATGTTGGGCTATTTTGGAGAGCCAATTACACTGTGACTTTGGACAATTCCACCTGGCGATTGCCAAGAGTTTGGAAAAGGCTCTGCTGTTTTTGACCACTTAACAAGTTTATGTACTTTCCATGTTCTATTTGAAGATACGAAGGAAATAAAATAATGCACACGTAAGATTAACCTTAATAAGTATCATTTGTAAACAGTGACTGATATTACGTACGTACATACTCTGTTCCCTTGGGACCCGTTCCTCAAAGATAACAGCTCTTCATTACTCAAACCTTGGGCGAGCCGTCACCACGAATTAAAATATTTTACACAAAGAGTCGGGAAAAGTACACATACCACAAAAAGGGATACTCTGTCTGGTGTGACGTAACAGAGGGGTTATTATTTTATGCATTTTGTACACGAATAAGACGGGTGAACTAACACCCATGCTGTGTTTAGACTCCACTGGTTCGAACGCCCGTCTGCATTGGTGGTGCGAATGCGGAAGGGTAGCCGTCATAGTCAAAGGATGGTGCTTCATTATCTCCCCTCACCATTGACGATTCACTTTGAAAATGGTGATGATAATTGCCGCCACCGTTAACCTCGCCACCTCCTGTCTGACCAGAGTCATAGAAAGCTGTAGCAGTCTGTGGATAGGCAGTCTGAGAGAGATACGCACTGAGTGGGTTCATTTGGTACTCACTCCCTTGCGTAAGTTCTGTTGTGTTATCGAGTAGGTTCGACACGACCGCAGCATATCGTCCTAATCCATTAATCTGCGATTTTGGTGGGCTACCGAGATGCGACAAACAACTACCGGGATCGTTAGTGCCGCTCAATAGACCTGCCATTGAGGGGCTGCTGTTCTCACTACTTGCATTCGCATCTGGATTAAACCAATTATTTTGTGGAACTAAGAACTGGCTGCGAGGTACGGAATAGAGTTCAGACGTTGACGATGGGTAGCTGGTACTAATATCACGCAGAGCTCCAAAAGAGGAGGAGGAGGTAGTTGATGGATTCGGCGGAGGACATGGTAAGTATCCGCTGGGTAAGTAAAATCCTTCTGGCTTTGGCTGTGGGGCAGGTGGAAGAGAAGGCGGATGCAGTAGGGATGGAACGGGATGGGGATAGCTGATGGAAATCGGTTGTTTGCATGGAGAAATGGAGGGTTCAAGGGACAGTTGCGGAGGTAACACTTGGTGAGTTGAGTGATCAGTGCACTCGCTCTCATCGTCACTGTCTTCGACATGGGGCGACTTGGTGCTTTCCGCTGTTGTGTTTGTGGTGGGACACCCGGAAGTCCGAGACTGGATTTTCTTCTTCTTCATACGGCGGTTTTGAAACCACACTTTTACCTAAAAAATTACAGCAATATGTACGTATCTTATGGATGGAATTTAGAGGAAAATAAAGGCTTGAGCAATGAATCCTATTAACAAGTATATGCTGCGATCAGACAGGTTATTTTAAGGACATTTGGGGCGCCAGTTTGATTTGTCTGCTCAAGTGAGCACAAAGGCAGGTATCCCTTTGATGCGGGCTGTTTAAATGGGTGCGATGAGGGGGAAGGGCAAGGTGAGTGTGAGGATTAATCCTCTATATAACCACACCACAGATGCCATGATAAATCCTGTGGTAAATGGGGGAGTTGTGGATTGAGTAGACCCACATTTCTGCTAAACACGTGGATATCGTGATTCAAACAATGAAATCTTTGTGATTGTGTATGCATCCAACATTTTCGTTATTATCTTTGATGTCTTTGCTTTTGCTTTTTATTTAAAATTAATGCAAAAATTATACATTTTTAAAGAAATTTGTTCAGCTCTAAAACTCCTTAAGTCGAGACTTATCATTAAAAATCAAGATGAAGACTTTGGAATTTCCCAGTTAACTCCTGAATACCAGCAGCACGTAACCTGAAGCCGCCGTTTGATATTGCAGACCTTTGTCTTCTTCAATCGGTACAAATTCTGGCACTCCGATACGTCCTATGTGACTAATAGGTGGACAATCTTTGCGGGCGTGTCAAACAGAAGTTTGGGATGAATGCAAAAATACTAAAATGTGATTGCACAAGCTCCTTATGACTATCGGCACTTCACGCAACCAACCTTTAAAATTAGTACATAGATGGCCCCACCATATAAAAGTATGCGTCCGATGGACAGAAACAGGTGTACAACTATCTGGAATTATGATCACGCTGTATTATATCTAATCTAAATTGACATCTGCTCTTGTAAGCAGACAGGGGGAGGCAATTATACCTTTGGTATCAGTTTAATACTACCATTTTAAGATTAAATAAAGAAGGACGTCGGATCTACGTTCCTAAACAGTAAAAACTGCGAGTTGTTTTGTAATAGCTATCACTGTCCTTATTAGTTTCCACTTGTTCGTAATACATACGAACCATACCGCATACTTTGACAAGCATAAATAATCATTTTAATTTGGAATGGTTAGATAAATGATCGCTTTTTAGCTTTACGGAACACCTAAAAGTTGTATATGCTCTCGCAGGTGCAAGCGTTAAATTATCAAAAATCCAAAAATGAAAATTTTCATCTTTAACGGTTCAGATTGAGGAACTATTTGAAAAAATGGGACTAAGCGCAAAACGGTACCGTAGTTTCGTGAGGAGATTGTTCCCCTGATCAAGTGGCACTTTTCGTGCAATAAGAAGATACTGGGAAATGTATCATCAAAGTTAGCTCGTAAGTGGACGACTAGCGTGACTCCCATAGTTAACACGAAGTTCACTGCATCAAAGGACGTAATCCTATCCGCATAGTTACTTAGACGCAAATGCATGGGGCAATCGGCACAACAAATTAACAAGCATAAGTATGAACCATCCTGTTTTAAAATATCAGAAACTCGATTTTAGGGGAATTTCTCACCTGTCGTTCGGTTAAGTTAAGTTTACAAGAAATCTCCCATCGCTTTTGCCTTGTAATGTAGGCGTTTCCAAGAAATTCATTCTCCAAAACCATGGTTTGGAATCTGGTATAAGGCTTTCTCTTCTTCCGTGACTTGCCGTCTGTAATGCAGTAGCAGTGTGCAAAATTAAGCCATAGCCATTTATTGAAAAAGTAAAAATGATGGACTGGAAAACAAACATGTTAGACTTGTTATTGGACAGTGCAAAAAGGTTTTATTAAAAGTTATGACCTTAGAAGGTGGCTGATGGAATTTCGTAAGAATACTTAAGTTAGATATGACTTTGTTGATTGAAACACTCATTATAAGAAAGAAGTGAGCATACAGACGAGCAAATTATTCAACAAAATCTGTCAAAATCTACCCCGTTAGCTAGAAATTTCATCCTGCAGTGCTTAGCCTTTAAAGCCATTGCAAGGGAAATGTTTTTTGCTGCTTGTTGTATTAAAAATGTTCTAAAGAGACTATGGTTTAACGTTCGATATATCGCCTAAAATTAACTAGAAAGTGATTCATGTTCTCATGCGCTTATTGCCAAGTTGGCGCTAAAATTTTACAATACTTCCTTAATAAGATTCTATTGTGATGCGAAATATATGTCACAGTTGAATGGGCATTTTAAATGAATCATTAAGACAAGGGCCTCCCGGAGGCACTGGAATTATAAAGACACAATAGGAATGCAATTTGTAACTGAAAAAAACTGGACTTATTAAGTATTTGAAGTGTTGTATGTGCTTCTCATGAGCCATGTCTTGCTTCTAGATGGACAAATAAAAAAGGTGCATGCCAACATTTGGTAATGGGAGGCGGCGAAAACAGGATCCCAGTGTTATAGGTCCAAATTTGTGTAAATTATATCGCATAATTGATTGTTAAATACGCAATTGTATTTATATATGGGCACTGTGCCTACTTAAAATACTGCATTAAAATGCATCTCTATTATAAATTACAAGAAGTTGATACATATCGCCAGACTAATTACAAACTCTAAACTTACCACCAGAACTGCTATCACCATCTACAGCATAATCGCCCTCATCACTGTGATCATTTCCATTGCTCTGTACATTTTGAGGAGGAGGTAGAGGTTGGGAGTAAGAAAGATTGCTTTGATTCAGATCTGGTGGGTTGGAGAGATTTAGGAATCGCTGTGGACTGGGACAATCGGAAAGGCCATGTGTTGGAGGTGGCAGCGCTGGGGGCGGAAGGTACCTCATCGAATCCAGAGGAGGTAGATGAGAAGGTAAAGGGAATGAATGCGATAACTTTGGCCTCTGATAGTCCTCAATAGAATTTGGTGGTGAAAGTAACGGTGGTGGCATGGGGTATTGACTCCCCGAATAATCAATCGTGGCTGGTAGTATATGTTCTGAAGCTTCATAGTATGGATGGGAGAGGTTAGCAGGGTTTTGTTCGGACTGGCTGACCGGTGGAGTCCACAGAGTTGATGGAGGTAGAAGTTTTCCATTTTGTCTCCCCTCTTCATTGTTTGCCGTGTCTTGAAGCGACTGCGACATTTGGCAGATGAATGATATCTCTGTAAGAAGATTTTTGGTCGTAAAAGAGTATTCTTCGTCAAAAAGTACTACTGCTGCAGTAAGCTTTATTATTGATTGTTTTTGCACGTTTATGCACGTGTACGGAGACCTCGTAATGGCTTTTTAATGAAGACAGATCCTCAAAGATTGATAAATGCACAGCAGTCGCAAAACCTCGCTGCACAGGGAAGGTGGGCACAAGTTTAGACGAAAACGCCTCCTCCCACCTCTCCATTGGTCGATGTCATTAGCCGCGCGCATTTGAGGATTTGCGTCAATAACCTGAGTCTGATTGGTTAGTAAAACCTGATGCCGTCAGTGGATTGGCAAATTTCATGTGGGGGAGATGAGAGAGCAACCAATCACATTGTGCCATAAGGTAAATCATGCGCCTAAGGTTAGTTTCATTAGTTTAGGGATATTAGTTGACTATTTCAAGAAATCACATTTTTGCCCCCTCCCCCCAAGAATATTTCATCAGATGCTTTACTTATTATTTATCAAAACGCCCTTAGAGAGGGTAATTAAATCAAATTTTAAGCTGCCTAATATGATTCGCCTAAGTTTGTGCTTAATCGGTCATTTTACGTACTCCGATCCCAAAAATACCTCAACGTTACTATGTTTGGAGCATACTTAAAAATAAAATGTTGTACCAGCAACTAGTTTTTTACAACTTATAGCATAGTAAAGTCATTTCTGTCAATTAAGTGGACGTGTCGATCTCATGCAGGAGCTTATTAAATCTTATGAAAGCTCTAAAGCAAATACAATGCTTATAATGCGACCGCGTTAATTTTGCTATAAATACAACTTGCTTACACTCTTGTATTTGTAAATAAGAGTTCAACCCGGTGAAATAAACCTTTTTATTACTTATGCATCTTTATAAATTACTAGCCTTTAGTGTATCGGTAAGATTTGTGAGCTCAAAGTGACCTTTGAAAGTGTTTGTACCTAAATCTACTTGAAGTTAATACAGTGCACCTGTTTGTTATTACACACTTTTAACCTCTGTTTTATACACATAAAGATCTTGAAACATCCCACTAGCCCGATCATTATGTAGCCATTTCGTCACTCTGTTCCTTTGAAAGTGCGACCTAGAAAATTATGCAGATATATTTTTCCATTATTTTCGTTGTTATTTGGGTTTAACATTAATAATACAATAAAATATTATTTTGCCCCTAATATTCGGTGTTAAGTCCAAGATATAAGGGAAGCATAGTTTTACCTTTGTTACTGAGCTTTAGACACCTGTCAATCGGAGGAAGTTAATGGTTCGTTGGGTATAACTGCAGCGCATCTGCTCCTCTCGTTGCGTTACATGATTTATGAGGTTATGTGCCTGTTTAGGGAAGTTTTCTATTCTTACTCTATTTTTGAGTCCTTTACACGTTCAATAATTTCTAGGTTGGGAAGGTGACGTACTTTATTTCAATCTAATTAAAAATAAAAATCAGTTCTTGAACAGTGACGATTAATAAAAGGGAAAAAGTGGACTCTACCTTATGTAGTATTAATATTATTGTAGGAAATGGAGCTGATGGAAGTTATCTCAATCTACAATTACAATAGTTATATATACAGTTTTGCTTGCATGCATCAGCAAGTCTTTCGATTTCAAATTTAGTCCAAACCAAGTAACTTATGAATATATTTTTTAAAATTCTATCATTCGATTAAAATAAAGTAGCTATGGTGACCTTAGAAACAATGGCATTAAATTGAACGATCCTTAATAACGACTAAGTTAGAAGCTCACCTATACACGAAAGCAAGCTTGAGTGTACTGCAGGCACAAAGGAAATAGATTAAAATTCCTTCTTTATTAGGAAACCTTCTTATGACCTAGTTAGCTCACCATTAAATTTAACACTTCTAGTTGCATTCTTCCACAGTGTATGCTGATTTTTTGAGAGATTAGAACAAGGTGACTCAATATATCCTAACTAAGATAATAGTTGAGAATAGCAGTTCTCAAATAAGTATCAAGCATGGGAAAGATATGCTCTAAGCGTAACTCTTATGACTGACTTTAGATAGACTGCGCATTAATGAACATTGTTAATTTACCTTCTGATTGCAATGCAGTGTACAGCATGGTAGCTGCAAACTATGATTTAATTGTGATAGTTCACATTTATGCAAGAAGTCCAAACTCAACTCAAACAGACAGGGTAACATCTCAAATATCTTTTCATAGTTAAGCTAAATAAGAAAACTGCAAAACGTGGTGCCATCCTATCAGTCATGCGATTTTAACCTTTTAACACGTCCAATTAATTAGTGATGTTATTCACTTGCATTATAAATGTAATAACATTATCAAGTTTTACGAAATGGAAGTGAATTTTGAGTAATACTTTGTAGTAGTCATAACATCGTATTAATGAAATGTTGCTAGCAGTATAAGCAAAATTACGTAGAGTTTCAGTGTTATCAGTCATGCTTTATGAGTTGCACAGCAACATAACTAGTTTCGAACCTATCACTCAAGCAGTTTAGTTATCACGCCTTGAGAATGTAAACGGAAATTCGTTAATGACGCATCGTTCGCACCGACTTCAATCATTGGGCATTAATTGAAGACTTCAACGTTTATTGACAGGAGTGGAGCTTGATGAGCTAAAAATCTAACGCAATGCGACTAATTCAACTTAAAATTTGTTTTAACAAGTCGAATAAACCACTTATGATTAAGCAAGCCATTCAAAACTTAGTAAGTTAACAGGATCCAGGAGGGTCGTTAATTTTTCGTCACAAACAATTCAAGATGTAATGAACCTTATCAGTTTCAATTTACTGAGCTGTCTAGAAGAAGTTAGAGCTGCTATGAATTCAAATGTCATAGAGTAAGTAGAGTTTAGTAATTACTTACTTTTAGACGTTCACAGTTTCCAACCTGTCAAAAACATCCGGTGTATACAAATTAATCCTTGGTCATGTAAAGCGAAGGACATCTTAAGTAGGGCTATTGCACTTTGAAAGATTGGTAAATGTCGATGTGGTTTAGTGGGAATTAATCCATAAAATATTAATATCGAATAATTACTTTAGTAAAATATCAATGCTGCATTCAATAGGGCCTGTGTTTTGAAAAGGTTCGATCTATCGCTGAATATAGATTTATCCGGGTTAAGTTAAGATTGAGATTGGATGACTTGCCAACTTGTGTTAAAGGGAGTTTGGAGTGAAATCCATGAGCTAAGAACTGTAGTGCTTTTCTACGTCTATCCAAATGGGGTAAGTGTGGGAAAGAGGGTCTTCTTAATTTTTCGGTGTTTTTGTGTGAATCTGGAGCAGAAGCGCGCGCACATATGGGTACACCAATGGCAGTAGTCATGACTGCACACGTATGCTACTGCCTGACAAGTTCTATCAATCATATAACTAAGGCCTAGGGTACTCAGTCTTTGCAAGAGCTGCCTCTTAAGCCACAGCTAATTTCTTTAGTAAATACATTTTAATAGGCGCATTAAGAAAACATCGATTAAAAGGATATCATTGACCGAAAAGTTTGCACCAGATTTGGTTTTAGACATTCAATTTTTAAACAAATCACACTTGTAAAAACTGCCTATAATCTAATGGTCCTTAGTCCACAAAAATTAGTTTGTCATATAGTTCCTTTACCTATTTTATGTTCCTTTTAAAAGCATAAGAATATTTAAGTCTAGGTGCCAATCTCTTCCAAATCAATTGGTAAAAGTCAACCAATTGGTAAAGGTTCTACAGTTACGCACGAATCCAAAATAAAGTAAATGAATCGTTGCCATAATTTTCGAAACATAAGTGCAGATCTTGTAAAATGCGATTATGGCGGAGCGTGGTTACATTAACAGTCGACCCACGAAAGCTCGACTTGAGAAATTGTTGAAGTAGCGCCGCCTTAAATAAAGCCTTATGCTCTGAGATAACTACTTTTTGTACCAAGGAATGTAAGTGTAAGTGCGTTTATTAACTTTGTTACCACTACTGTAAGTTAAGAGCTAAACTTGAAACACAATTCAGTTTACTATTAACTTACCACAACTTTATTAGCACTGACCATTATCGCACGAATGATTTTGTAGGCATGCTCGACTGTTGCATTATCCATAAGGTATCACAACAGTTAAAGGTACTTTGGTTCTTTATTGAAGATATCTGAGCTTGAGCATTCAAAACATAAAAAATTCACCGGAGTAGGGGTAAGCAAAGTCAAGAGATCGGCTCCACATTATGTTGGCGTCCGGCACAAAAAAGCCAGGGGTAGCAGTGATGAAGTGAGTCAACTAGACAGTGTCAACGCAGCGGTGGTTATGCGTATATTCGTCTCCACGTGAGTCATGCGCGTCTCCTTCACTGTTAAGTCGGGGTTAATTTTTATGACTCCGGAGGGTTCACCACCACCACCACCACCACCACTACCTCAACCTCCACTCTGCCGCCAGTACACAGCTCGCCTGGTAAGTCGTTTAACCTCCCGTCGCGTTTCCTTTCTCCCTTCCTCTCTTCCTCTACCTCCCCCTATCTTTCCCTATGTGCACCATCCTTCCCCTTTTCGCCTTCTACCTTCCCACCTCACATACGCGCGACTAAGGTCACTGGTAGATTGGTCTTACGGATGCAGTTACCTTTACGCTTCCTGCCAAACGCGAAGGTTTGGCCAAACCTGTTTGTACATGCTTGCATATAAAGGGCGTCGAGATGGAGTACTTTAACGAATCAGCTTTCGACTCGTTGTTCTGATGCTATTCATCGAAGACGCAATTCTAAAGTCGATTGTCATATTAATTTATATTTTAGTAACCTTATCAGAAACTCTAAATGCAATTCATCTTACATACATGTTAACTTTTAAGAGGGTATTGGGACATTTTATCAATTTATTCTATTTTACAGGAACTAATCAATCACAGTGAAAGTGAACTCTAAATGGTTTGCGAAACAGAAGTCTGTATTGAAGTAGAAGGTTCCCATTGTAATTGTAAATGAAGGAACAGAGAATAGCTTTTTAAAACTTGAGACTTATTAGTACTTTTACAATGATAGCGTTGATTGTAATATGGAAATATATGGTAGTGATTGGAAAGGTCTTAAGACGATCATAGCGTCTAGCAAAGCTGCTAAATACAATTTGAGAAATCATGCAAAGGCGGCTCTTATAAGCATAATTTGCGCATATTTGACAACAAATGCAAAACTGTGCCCAATATTCTATATTGTTTCAAAAGATTTTCTGAGATAACTGCAGCACCTAAATTACCGTAGCCTGGATGCATTGATAGTTGTCTCTGAAATGTCTCTCATAAATATAGGAAAAGTTCACCAGAATACAATTAACTTCGAGGAGAAATGCGCTCAAAAAATGAAGACACTTATTAGAAAAGTGGTCAGCCACCTAATTATTAAAACTTAAAACTTACGTGCCGTGCCTATGTGACCCATTGCACTACAATGTGAAGTGATCGAAGGGAACTAACTTTTTTACTTATTGTCAAAGTTATGGCATGTTACTGAAGAATTTCATAATACCGGCTATGTCTACCAATGATTATTTTCACTTAAAGCGATGGTGGTCTACTCTAAATGATTATCGCATCCAGGCCTCCCCCATTAACGAGGAGGAGGGGTTAGTTACGTAGCTTACTGAAGCAATTATGAATGTTTGTCTACGCGAACTTACATCGATGGCATCTGCGAATCAAAACGGCAGACCACGAAAATACTGTCTAGCATACTTGCACCAACTTAAGGGGACAATTAATGCGCTTTTGCTGGAAAACTTGTTAAAACAGTCCATCAGCAATGTTAATGTGTCCTCTTTATCACCTCCGATGCCTTTCAACCATAGAGGAACACAGCCCCTGTGTGGCCTTAGGATGGAATATTGGACATTCAGCAATTGCTAAAATAATGTCAAACAGACGAGTGTATCTCACACTAAAGGAGTTTACGGTCTTCTTTTAAAAAAAGGTAAAACGAAAATTCAATTCGTCTGATTACGCACCCATCGAGTTAACACATACAAGTAAGGTTGGTATTATTAGATGTAATTTAGTTGACTTTTAGTATTTGCATAAGCAGCTGTCAATGACGACTTTTGACAAACTGCAAAATGCTACTGCTCACAAACATTTAAAGTTAAAGGTGGTAGCAATCCCTCGATATTATTGTCTTTGTAAAACTCTTTAGTTTACTCCCTCTACCTTAGCCCTTCGATCAAAATGACAGCTAAGTCTGCTGTATACGCTTTGAATTATCCGCCTTGGGAACAAGGTTCAACCTGATAAGTAACTTGGAATTGGTATGTCGATTGGTTGTGACACCCAACCAAGACGCATCGCTCAGAACTGTTAGTCGGGGTTCGCTTCACCATATCCTGGAAAATAATTTTTAAAAATTGTTTAAATATATAACTATGACAATTGAAATATATCAATATTAATGTTTAGGTAGGATTCTTACAGAACTTAAGGTTTTATACCACAAGTGACCCGTGAGAATATCCGCGATTTAGGATCGTACGGGGACACTATCTTGCGCATGAAGTGAAGACATTAGGGGTACGAAAACAGAGACAGTTATGGACGATAAAGCTCCTGTAGGAACAAAATGCCAAAGTGGAATGGAGCTAACAGTAAGTCCATAGTTTATTGCGAAAGACAATCATTTAAATAATGTCAAATTACTTAGAGATACTATGTTGAGGTCATTTATTTTAAGTATAAGATGTCTCAAGTACACGGTCAGCTACCTAATGCAAATGGCTACATCAGATTAAGTAGCTACCGTGGTTTGATGAAAGAATATTTGTGATATTTTTTGACAACTAAAAGATGATTTAGAGTTATAGACACATCCCAGTAGTAAAAATAGTTACAACGGTGCTACATGTCTAGCTCTTACATAACAAACGAGTGTGTTCTATTATCTTCCATCTTAAAGTTATATTCGGTAAAATCAAGAGGTCCGTATTTTACTTGCTATGGTGAGATCAGGAAAATCGGACTTTCAACAAGGATAAACCTGTAGGTTACCTAGGCAGTTGGAAATAACTCAAGAAGATGTATGAATAAAGAAGGTAGCAAGCGAACTACCGCGCAGATCCTGATCACAAAACAGTAAAAATTTTAGCCAATTTAGTATGCAACCATTATGGTTTTGCTTGAGCAGCAAATAATACAACCACAACAAATCATAAAACATGCTACTAAGACATATAAGTAGAGGTGCTTTGTTGGCAGGGTCTTCATTGAAAAATATATAAGATTTTGGTATCCACCACGTTAAAAAGAGGTAGTTGGATCACATTCTATAATCTCAATGCGATCAGCTAGCGCGCTCAACTTCAGAGAAGTCTTCATTCGACCCCGTAGAGGAGGGATGGAGATTACTGGGATGAGACAAGGGGTGATGGGGCATAAAGTGAGGGAAAGACGAAGGTCCTGAATCAACCATCTCAGGGATATGAGGAGGAGGTGGAGGAGGAGGAATGGGAGGGGAAGTAGCAGGAGGTATAGGTTGCGAGAAAGGAATTTTGAGGTTTCTTTGACTTTCGCTCATTATTCGACGATTCATTTCATCGTTGAGGTCTTTGATCTGCTGCCGCTCCTTTTTCAGCTTCATTCGGCGATTTTGAAACCAAATTTTAATTTGACGCTCAGTAAGACATAGACTATGGGCTATTTCTATTCGTCTACGTCGAGTAAGATAGTGACTGTACTGAAACTCCTTTTCCAGCTCTAGTGTTTGAAAGCGGCTATAGGTCTGTCGCCCTCTCCTCCTTTGCACAGAATTTGGACCTAGAATAAGAGGAAATATAAAAAATTTGATACCTTAGGCACCGTTCTACGTTGATAGAGGACTCAATTTAAGCAGCAAGTAAGTACTGCAAACCAAAAGATTGCAGAACAAAGGTAAGCTTTAATTTCAATTCTGTCAAATTTCGTCTCCTTTGCAGTGACCCCATTGATGACTACGAAGCCTCACTTCGGCTCGTGCGTGGATGTCTGCTACCCAAGGCGAGACAAAAATTGAGAGACACAAGTTCCTCCAATGTAAGACAAGACTCACGCACAGAAACGTACACATACCCTTGTACCAGACGGATTCCATCTCGGCAAAATAAACAATCGGATCATCTCCTCTGGAAGCAAATCCTTGTTGCTAGGCCAAATATTTTAAATTCGATTTGCTTCCGAAAAAGTGACTTAAGATGAAACTTTTACTCAACAGATGTCGGGTACTGGCAAAGGTCGCAAACGAGTTCATGATACAAAGTTTGTCTGTGCTAAGGAAACCGGACAGTCCATTAGGGCCTCAACCTAGGGTACCTTCGCCACTTTTATTTTATGATGCGAATTAATTGGAGCTTGCCTGGCTAAAATCGTGCTTATTTTGACTTGCTTGTTTTGTTTGATAATAAGTCAGAACAAATCATTGATTTACTCAGAGGCTAGCATTTATGCTACTGTACGGCAACGAGGCAGCAATGGGCTACTAAATAATTCCAATGGATAAAACTTTTCTGTGGCTACCTTTTCAACATCCCTTTGAAATGAATAGCAAAAAACCCAGGATAGAGTGCTTACTTTTGTTCACCCTCAAATTAAAAGTTTTATTGAGATGGAGCTACTGTAACCCTCTGTGTGAAACAGAAAAGGCACAGCCTTATTAGGCTATTGCTTTTTGACAAATGCAGTTACTTTTTAGCGGGTGACAATAATCTGTAAATATTAGAATTTTCTTAATTTTCAATTGGACTTATCTGTTGCTTAGACAATGCACTTCAATATGGTAGTTGAATAAACCAACCTAAGTGCCAGTCAGATTAATTTGTTAAAATTTTAATAAAATGAGGATGGAAAGCAAAAGGCTTGTTAACAAAAGGGCTGCCATTTAGTCATCGCTGTTATTCCCATGTGTCGCAGTAGTAAAGCGGGTAGAAATGCATGAAAAATCACTATTGCTTTTGTGGTTGCGCCAGTCAACTACGAAAAGACAGGCAACAGCACTCGGCCACAGATCACGTTTTTAGGCTCACTTATGCATTGATACACATATCCACACGTGGTTCAACTTCGAAACTCCTAGGCCAGATTCGAAATCAGCCGGTAGCGACGACTGCAAACACGAATACAAGCAATTTTAATGGTACCCCTTTTGTCTACACACAACTTAAGCATGCATCATCAGGCTTATCCACTTGATTTCTTTGAAAGGTTCGGAGAGTGCTTAGGTAATAGTAGGAATATTTAATTTGGGTTCAAAAAGCCTTGATGGATTTTAAAAAAATATACCATTTTAATGAAGATGAACTTGTGGCTTAAAATTAAAGAGAAGCGTTGACATTCAACAATAAAACTGAAATTGCACCCAATGCATCACTTGCACCGAATAAAATCTCACGCACTGTAAGTCCACAAAATTCAAAGGGGACTGTTTCAATAACATTCATCCATGTAATTTGAATAGCATAAACGCGCCAGTTGCCTAGGTGGAGGTAAGCCGATGCAAAAAAGGATGTAAATTATTACATTTCCAACCTAATGGGTGGTTGATGATCAATATTTACATTTCAAAGCCTACATCTTACAATCACCTAGCATCTGCATCCGCATTTATTCTCATCTAAGGGCTATTTGAAGTTGACATTGTCTAAAACCTGTGTCGTAATCGAAAATGGCTCTATAAACTGCTTCATTGCCTTGCTACTTGTAATCAAAGTCATTTTTAGCCAACCCTATCTTAGTGGCTTTGGGAATCCACTAGGATAAGATCCAAAATTGACTTATTCACAAAATTAGTAAGCTTTGCATTGCTTTTCGCATGCAGTAACATTATCACAGCAGCCCAGAATGGTTATTTGTAAGAGTAAATGGAATCCTCTCGTAGAGGGTAACACAACGCGCACCAGCTGGAATGGGTGGTTGGTGTGTGCGTATGGATGGATGGGTTTTCATTGCCTCTCCATCGAAGGCCAGCCCAGTACAACGCTCGCGCACGCACATACACGCATACAAGTCTCAGCTGTAACGTAATGCGGGTAATAGTCACGAAGAGTATCCAGTGAACCCACAAAAAATATGACTCATCCCCGTATATCGCACTGCAGGGGGCTGGGAGGGCTAGTCTTTGGATTGCCCCTCATGTTTAAACCGTCTAAATGTCGGTACATAGCAGGTGATGTGGGCCAGGTTTCGGATCATCACCAGATGAATAGCTACATGGAAGACTCATACAGCACACGTATGGCACAAATAAAGTCAACTTATTTTAAGATGAGGCGGAGATCCAGGTGTACAGTGGCTTATCAGACACCTAGTAATGAAGCCATAAAAGCGATTGCTTCGAGTTTAGTACTTCATATAGTAACGGACGAAAACTATCGAAATTTCAAATTACTATGAGGAAGACTATTTAAGCGAACACCTTTACAAGAGCTCGGTAATACTGGTTTAGCGTACCACTTACCTAATAAAGTTTTAACTTATTAAAAGATGAAGTTAAGGAAACATATTTTCTTAAGGAACTTTGCTTTGAATCAGGCAGATGACAATGTTTTGGATAACAGCTATTTCATTTAGGGTTCGCTATCGAAGGATATGATAGGTGATAGTCTTATCCTACTGAAACGGTTAAAGCAGTCCGACTTTTTTGAGTGAGAACTAATGAACCAACCTTTTTTTTGAAAATCAGTCTTTACAGAAGGGATTATGAAGTGTGCTAAAGTACGGTACAGGCACAATTGTCGACAGATTATTAAAACTGCAAATCGTAATTGTCTCTCATGTAGAGTAATTGCGAGACTTTACAATGTTGGTAAGGGAAATGGTGTTTTTTGTCGATTGCCAGTAAATCAACATCAACAGACCGGTGGGGGAAAGAAAGGGGGCGGAGTGTTCGCTACACCACAGTTTCGCGGCTTTGAAGTAGCCGCGCCCACACAATCAACCATCGAGTGCAAAAAGGCGCACGCATCGCCTACAATCGCGTCCGCTCGGGTAATAGGTTGTGACCTTTCACGATCTTGCCGTGGGAGGTCGTTGTCCTTGAAACAGGCTATTTTGAGCATTTTATGACTTTAAGTGCTCCTCAGCAATGTGGTCTTGCGCCAACCTTGGTGACGATGCAAGCACAGTTATTTCCTAGACCTTGCTAATATTCATCTAAACGTTTGCGCATCTCATCAAATGCGATTTACCAAACCATATAAACGGTAAATACTCGCACCACTTAGTGCCACATTGCAAAGGTCAATAAAATCAAAAGACAAATTGCCTTATAAATTGTTCTCTTAGAGTAACAAAGCAGTAAAATTATGTTCTTTAAATCAGAGTGTGAAGAGCTAAAAGTCAGGCCGACTAGAAAGACATTTATAATTATGACACCGGTGAGTTATTATAATTGATGACAAACAGACTTGGTGGGCATATGCCATTTTTTGCCAATTTGATGTCCAAATCTCAGCGAATTTCTGGAACCTCGAATAGCCAGTATCTTGCTTACCGAGCCAACTTCTTCATCCTGACAACTGAAATAAAATTTGCGGAGATTAATACTAATCTTCTCAAGCATAGATCGGCATGACTTGACGTTAGTCCCACTAGTCTTGACGCACTCTCGATTTATCCCTTTTTTCAATACATTTACATCTTTTTGTGTAATGGTCATTTACGGTTATCCAAACACTTTACACGATTTAAATCACACTCTAATAGGTGGATTTGTTAAATTCGTCTAACGTGCTGTTGTAAGGTTGGGAATGGAATAATAGCTTTAAATATTTGTGGTTTTGGAAAAACTACGACGTCAAAATGGTTAAAATTTCACTCCCTACATAGTTGTGTGCAACGAGAGTGCTTTACACTGTTGTTTGTCACTAAAGTCATTAAATTTGTTGCCTAATTTTCTTCTTGAGGATTTGGAATATCGTGTCAAGGCGATTTTTAATGTATGCTAAGTACGCGACGTTCTTAGATTACGCACAGACAGTGAAAAAATGCAAATTTCTAATGGCTACAAGTGTTAGTGTTACTGGAATAGGGATTTCACAGCTGCAAAAAGATGCCGCCTGCAATTGTGCTTGTCTATGCACAAACACACGGGACTCTGATAGAAAAGGTTAGAGCGGCGCTTTGATCAGTAGCGCAGTCGGAGGGTGTGGCAGCTGTGTGGACCCTAGCGGTGACCTATGACGCAGAGACTTTCCATGGGCGAAAAAATGCGGAAACATCCGTCCTTCCCATCTCTATCCTGCTCCCCCACATGATGGGGCATGCTATGGCATGGCGCGGCGCAGCATTGTGCGCCCATCTGCTCCGTTATCGGGGTTCGGGAATAGGGAATGGTGATGCAGTGGTGGGTGAATCTATCACCGAAACACAACGATTGTGTCGGCTCGCGGTGTGCACAAAACCTGTCGCTGTGTTGTACGCACGTACAAAGACGCCTCCTTTAGCCTTTGATGTTCCCATTTTATTGGATGGGTTATCGATCAGATGTCCCTGTGTCACTCAAGAAACCCACTTATGTGCTCTCTGCCTTGTTTCACATTAGCTGTTTTTAACACAAATAATTTTTACCACCATACGTTGATCAAAGCATGTCTAGGCAATCTCATCAATTGGTCAGAAAATCATGTCCCTTCGAAGGTTTTGGCCGCTCTCTAGTGACCAGATGAGGTAGCCTAATTTGATTTATCTAAATGTAACAATATAGAGTTTTATTAAATACCCAATCAACACTGTCCTAAGACTTTGAACTCATAAGGCGTTTCAGTAGTTTATTTAGAGTCAAAGACAATCATTTTTAGCTGATTTTGTTATTAAGTCAGCAGATGGTAACTGTGGTTCAAATCAACATTTCTACTTGCATTCTCGAGATTGTTACACCTAGCGACTCACCTTCGCAACAAGATGGATTCTATTCTGTTTTCAACGTGACCTGATTCTCGACTGCGGCGTTTCGCAAAGCCTGGAATTGACTATGCACGTAGGTGGAGGGGGTGATGTCGGGGTACGTGCACATGTGTATATGGGTGTGAGGGGGTGTGTGGGGAGGAGGACGAGTTCGGGGTGGACTCCCATCGTCCCCAATCGGGTACCATGAGGGCGACTGCTCATGCGACTTTAGGAGTCCTCTGAACAAACACACCTCGAAAAAGCCAACTGAAACTTCAATATTACAAGTATTCAGAAGGCGACTACTGAAGAGTATTGTTTTAGTACTAATCATAACTATTTAAACAACAAGGAGCCTCGTACCTACAATTTCTATCATCATACTTAGTCCTTCTGATTGTCAGAAGCAGTTGGTAATTGCGATGGAATTAGCTACCTACGGACGTTCAATAATGGACGGTAGCGTAAGCAGAGGCTATGTCCCGATTGCTGCTATCCCAAGGGACTCTTCAATAGTTGGTTAAGCTAGAAGATCAATTGTACTGCGCAAAAGATAAGAATTGATACTCTGAATCGTGAGTGTCTGAATCAGCAGTGCTAACAAAAGAGTTAATCCTTTGTGTTAACTCATTACCTGTAATTCTTTATTCTCATCAAATTCAGCGTCGTAGACGCCAGAACTTTATTTAATTGTGACGAAACCTTGCATAAGTTTTGATAAAAAATTGCCGCTGCCTTCAACGCCCATTACCGCTTTTGTGTACGCAAGATACTTTTCACTTAAACTGGTGGAAGATTATTCGTTTTGCATTAAACTCTTGGCAAAGAAAACTGGTGATGTGATTTCACCTAATAAACTTGAGATGGTGACTGTTGTCTACTGCAGTCAATACCGAGGAATCATTTAACTTTGTAAATCTGAGGGTCACAATGGTGCTACAATTTAAAATGAGGCATTTCGGCTATTATACACTAGGTAATGTAAAACCAAGACAAAAGAAAAAAGAGTATTTTATGACAAAGCAAATTAAGACAGATGTGAAAGATTTAAGACAGTAGAAAAGTATTTATTTTTATTTCGTTAATTACTTTCCCGAATTTAAGTGCTTCTAAGCTACTTTTCGGAACATAAAACAGCTAATAAGAACCACTATGGTGATAAAAAATCATTTTTGCTATCGATCTCTGTTTTCATTTATTGTTATCAAACTAAAAAAATGACATAATCCAAGGTAAGCAAGTATATGCCACTGAAATCCATTGGGAGTGATTTTGAGCTCTTATGCGTTGATGTCGTCTTTGAAAACAAACAAAAAGGCTTTGTAGAAGTGGTGCTTATTTGAGTAAAATAGTACAAGTGAGCACCTTCATGGCCTATAGTTAAGCGATTGACCTCTAGCAAAGCTTCAATTAATTTTTGCTCTTCGCCTCGGATACAAGCAGACAATTCCAGTTCCATAAAGTTTTCCACTGATCTTCCGATAATAATGTCTGTCTCAATGAGTTGTGCCTCAGCGCACTCTGGGATAAGTTGTCTACGGAAATCCTGATAATGAATTGGTGTTTAATTTAACTTACCAAAGCGTTAATATATTCCCAGTAAAATCTTGTGATTTCTTACATTAATTCGACAAAATTTTGACTAAATTAAAAAGTGAATATAGTCCAAAATCATTAATATCGGTAGGGCACTAGTTTGTACAAGCAAGACACAAGTGCGTTTCAATTGTTGCTCAAAGTGTATATGCCCGAGCTACACATCACATTAAAGCTTTGGAATTCTAAAGGAAACAAAACTAAGCTTGACTAATGTGGAGATAATTTGAAATGGTTAATATATTTGAAGAAAGTGCTGCTTTAACCTAGAAGAGCAGTCTTTTATAAGTGCATTATGAGGCTGGGGTATCAAAAGTTCAGCAACTATCTAAACAAATACATGGGTCGTTCCATGCAACAGCGAAGCAACAAAGAAACGAAATCCGATTTGTGGCCTTATGTCTTGAGCAAGAGTGTATTCTTAGGCATTTTTGGACTAGCTTAAAGATGGATTGGGAAGGAGATTAAAGCAAAACTGGGGAGAGTTAGACGGCTGTTTTCAAATTAACATTTTCGGGTCAATGCGTCTTTGATGCACCGCCCAGTACCTGGAGAGGAACGCCAATAAATTATCACTCATGCGTGTAGGCACACGTTCGCACGCTCACACACGCGCACACAGGCGCATACAATCGAATAGACTGGGTGTATAGTGGACAATTCGCAGGCACCTATTGGGGAAATGTCCAGGCATGGAAATAGAACGCTCTTACAAAAGACGTAAGTTCACTGTTCGATCATTATTTACACATGCCACCTGACGTTGGATCACATTCCTGAACAACAGAAAGGGATGTCATAGATTGGCTAACTTCACTAAAGTTTTGTGAGCATTTGAGTGCAAATTTGAAAATTAAGCTTGTTCTCTTAATTTACAAAACACCAATCAACGACTTTGGCAGCAATAGATTCCAAATCCTGAGGGGAGTAAAATTTCATCTCATGCCAAAAATATTGATTTTACAGACCAATTTAATGTACTTTTTGGATTATCCAACGTACCAACGATACAGATGTAAAAGAGCATCTTGGTTCAGTGAACATTTTCACATTTCTCACCTATATTGAGGATAAGGATTGAGTAAACTAAAGCTAATTGATATAAATACCTACCGGTTGTTCATTCATGGCTTAATTTTTCCGGAATAGCAATAGCTGCTTGATTTGCAGAGTTCATATTAAAACAACCATTCAAAAATTAGCCGAGTTGAAAGGGATCATTCGAGAAACTATAGGCATCATCGATGGTACGGCCATCTTGCACAAAAAATCCCGTTAGCTTAGGATCTCAGTAAAAACGGGCTATGCATATAATGCTAGTTAGAAATAGGGATTTAGACGTATGGAGTGACGCTTTATGAGCACTCACCAGTCAAGACTAGAAAAGTTTCTAACTTAATTTTATAGTTTAACCCATTCGGACATCCTCTGTCCTGTAGGAACCACTATCCCCAAGTTTGATAAGCCGCTATTTGGTTCAACGGCACTCGCAAATCTTTGCTATTGAGGATGCTAGTCGCAAAGACGTCTACAAGTGAAGCGTGACCTAAGATTGCAAATGAATACTTAGCGTTTTTTCTCGGCCGCACAATTAACGATTAATTAAATTATTTTTATTGACTGTTGTTTAGTTCTCTAACAATTAATAAAGTGGACGTTCAGATTAGCATAAGCACTTTATAACAAAACCAAACCAAGATGCATCTCGAACCATTACTAACGATGTTTAAGTAAATTTTTAAGAGAATATTAAGGTAAACAATATTGTTGTCAAGACGGAAGCATTATCATAGTTGGTTATGTAGTTTGTCAGTTCAAAACTAGTTAGCTGACTACAAAACTGTTTTTCTCTAGGAAGACCTGAGGGCTACTTACTTAATGCAATGAACTGCAGTCATGCAGCAATACTCAGTTAGGCACTAAATTTACACCCATAAACAAAGGGCAACTCGTTCTTTTCAGACCAAAAATTGAAATTACAACACTGTAAACCTAAAAACGATTTAGACCTCCTTCTACACCCTCTGTCAGTTAAATTAACTAACTTCCATTTTTAAGATTTAATATCATCCTTATAAAATAAAATGCCAGCATAAATATTACAAACTACATAAAGTTAATGTCTAGCTGATATTGTGTTTTACATTTAAGCATTATGACGTAAAAACTGAGGTTAAACTCAAGTATTTGGCTGTTAACAATTTTAAAACAAGCTTACTTCTAATTATTACGTAAAAGCAGTCTTTAGTTTCGAAGCAACTATTTGCAAGTTAAACCCTCTTCTTAGCCACTTAAAAACCCCACTCTATTCAAACCACACCAGAGAAACAATCGTGACTTTATCAGATCGAAGCGAAGGAAAGTTAAAAAACGCTCGTAAAGTATGAATGAACCATGAACGATACATGACTGAGATCACTTACCTACTACAGTCATCCAAGGCCAGATTTGTTCCATATTTCCACCAACATTTCCAAGTGCGCTAACTCCAGGGTTCGATTCTGCCGTAGAGGATGTACCACTTCCAATGGAGTAATTTGGAGTATGGTGGAGTGGAGGTGGAGGTAATGGCGGAGGCGGGGGTTGAGAAAGAGAAAGAGGAGGAGGAAGAGGAGGAGGCAGATTAGGATTGTCAATTCTGGGAACCGTTGAGTGCGCGTAGCCTTGCTGATAGCCATCCGCAGGTGGATAGAAGGTCCGATGAGGAGAAGGAGCACTTTGTTCAGATGCCGCAGAACTTGCAGGAGAGCGCCTAGAGGGAACAAAACCTTCCACTCTCACACAGGTCTCCTGGTGCCGATTTGAAGCAGCAGCTGCTGTTAGTAAGGAATTTAGAGGGGTGTTTGTGGTATCAATGGGTTCCCCTGTAAAGAAGCTGTGAGCCATTGCTGCGGCAGCAGCTGACATTAAAGGAACCGTGCTAGTTGTTGCGATTACTGGACTGGACTGTTCAGTGTAGGTCTCTTTACCCGCCAGTCCCCAAAATTGTGCGGTTCTCGGAGTAGATTCAAAGGTACCGTGTGTGGGTGACTCTTCCACACCACGTTGTATGTTGGAATCGTCTGTTTTATTATCATTGCCTTGACCAAATGGAAACCACACATTCATTGTTCCAGGTGGGTGCGTTAAAAATCGCAGGGTAGATTTTTTTCATTATTTCGCATCCGCGATAATATTCAACCAATCGCGTATCCCACCGCACACTGAGCCAATTGGCGTAGAGCAGGTCTATACGGATTGGTTTAATAGAAGGGGGAGAGATAGGCAGACGGGATTATTGAACTGCGCTTGCGTGATGGGGGTGGAAGCGAACTGCGTTCTCAATAAATCACACCACACATGCACATGCAGGAACGTAATGCATGTGTATACATGCATGCGCGCAAAAATTTGTGCATATTGTTGCAGTTCTTGTTGTGGCCGTTTTCTCTGTTGCCATTGTAAAAAAATGAGGCAACCGGCCTTTTCTTTCTTTACTCGGAAAGTGGACCTTACAAAGAACTTTTTCGTACTTTTAACTGCTTTGTGTGTGTCTCAAAAGGCTATTGTTCATTTAGCCCTTATGTGAAGCCGATGCACGTGTCATAAAAGGTAATAAATCATACCGCTTGGATAAAAATGCGTCTTATTCACAGAAAATAAACTTACCTTATCATAAAGATGTACGGATGTTGGTCAATGTAAGGGTTAAAGACAGTGTACGTTGCGTTATAGCGATTGACATAACCGTTTGCGCCTTAGGAAGTGGCAGTACTTATGTCTTGGCAGATATACAGGATAGCGGCCCTTTTATGTTGCAAGACAGTGTCGTCCATTGACTGCTGCCGTGCCTCTTTTACAAACAGCCACGTGAAGTAGCACTTGGCGTTGCGTCAGCGATTCCAAATGATGCCGTTAGTGCCGTGTGCTTTGGAATGCCTACCAAACGCCAGTTGCATGTGCGTGGGTGGTTGTTAACGCTTTACCTAAAATGAAGCTTTCATTGCTTGCTTCTGGACAGTCACTCCCTAAATACTGCATTTTTCTTAGCCCATTACTTTAAATTGGGATACGCAGCACAGTAACTCAAAGCATACGAATTCTTTCGTAAAAAACAAATAAAAAGGAGCATTTAAAAAGTTGTAAAAGCGATGCATAAATTTATTTCGCAACCATTTTCGGATCTTTCATTCGTTTACACCTTGTTCAACCTGCTGTATAATATCCACAAATGACAGCATGTCGAAAGAGTCATTGCGTAAAACACGGAATATCGGTGGTTTTATGTAGCATGTCCCTACGGTCATTCACGACCACAAATATTTACTCTGAGTCAGCGAACTCGATCTTTTTGCCATATTAGCCATTTTGTTGGCCTTAGCGCTAATGATAGGGCATGCATACACAGCATCAGACATGCTCATTTCCGCATCATAATGTACAAAGCATCTTTAAAACTGATAACTTTTATGGCAAAAATGTCACTAAGTGTCCACTGGAAATGATATTAATCGGAAGCAAATCCAATGCGTCAATGCCGCATTCTAAGCCGGATAAACTAAATAATTTCCCATAATCCACTTTTTGTGAGTAAGCTTAGCCTACGTGGGAGTGTGTAATTTATTTAAATGAAAAATAGCCACTTGACTATGCAAGCCTTAATTACTAAACCAATGCAAAATTTAGTATAATGATCATTGTGGGAGTTTTTTATTAACGTTTTTAGTTGCATTATGACACAAAAATAACAGAAATTGATGAATTTGGTTTAGATGGAGGTAAATTATAGGTCAAAACATTGGAACACCTAACTAAAGCACTGAGAACAAATAAGAAAAGTAACATATTAATTCCTATCCGGTTCCCATTCTGTTTTGCTAATTTTACTACCACTACAGTCGTCATCCACTCTAAAAGTGACACTATCACTGCCTTACCATAGTAAAGATTAAAATTGCCATGGCCGATTTCCACTACTCGCAGTCAAGTTTTAACATTGGTTGTTACAAATAAGCAACGCCCAATGGCTGACATGAAGATGGATTGCCTTCATCAAGATCCACGTTACAACCCATGCCAATCTGTGGATTATAGTGCACGAAAATCCTTTAGTTAACCACTACATTTTGCTAGATCATTAAGCCAAATTAAAACTTTAAAATCCAGTTAAAAATGAAGGCCAAGTTATTCAACAATGGTTTATTTAAGCAACTCAATAAAATTTCAAACAAATTACTTCTCTTAAATTTGAGTCCTGTCCAATCGCGATGAACCAGACTTGGATTTTGTGATGCCACACAGTTATAATTTTACCATCACATCATCTTGGGCTATAAAAAGTAATGTGTCTTTGCCTATAATGAAGTGAGGAACTTTGAAGGTTGGACCATCGTTCCATTTTTGGTGGGTATGAGGAGAAGAGTGGGTTGTCCAGAGAGCACTGTAGACCTAGTAGTACCTGTGCCAGTGCTTGGAATCTTGAAATTTATTTACACCAGATGGCCGCCCGCGCATGTGGTGGAGAGGCGACTCCTTTGTTTCTGGGTCAAAAGGAAGGGGTGAGGGAGAGATGTCGCCCCGGAAGAGCGATTATGGTGCTACAGTTGCGCACACTAGTCAAACATCGATCAGTAAGTTGCAGCTCTGTCTAAATCAACCAGCCCAGAGAATAGCGGTTTTACCGAAATCAAAACACGTACACAGCCAAACACACAAATCTGGCGGAAACTAAATAAAGAAGTTCTACGTGACCTGGAGCATAAATACTACAGCTTCAACTACCGTGAAGATACCCCATTATCATAAAGAAACTCGGTAGTCCTTAAGTGGGTAAAATGTTACAACTATCCAACATAACAGGCACTTAATTTGGTGAATTTTGAGAGTGCTACCCAAAATTTTAGTTATTCAAGTTAACAAAAGGGAAAGTTGGGCGTTCGGAGTTAATAAGGCTATTGAGAGCAGTGGGTGCTTAAAGCAGTTCTAAAGAACCAATGTATTATTGCAGCTCTCCCTCCCTCCCTCCCTTCGTGAGCTGCATTTGTGAAACACATGAACTTTAGCGCTTTCCAGCCTCGATTAAGTGGCAATTTAATGGTGAGGGTTTCACGTCCGGGCACTGCATTTGCTACTCTGTTTTGCTAGACCACGCCAATCCCTTCATCTAGATTTTAGTCGCATTATCATGAAAACTCAAACTTAATAAGAGCGCAATACTTGCCCTAACAAATAGCTTAAATAGCAAAATAAGTAACGGAGCTTTGACATACATGCATAAATTATATTTATATTATGTGATAGCAACATAACAGTGTCTGACCGCCATCATTTATGCTCACCTAGCTGACGTCTTAGTGGTTATTATTTGTAACGGTAATTTCGTATTACCAAAAATAAATTAAACCATCGTGATAGCTAAATCTCGTAAACGACACTTTTACTGGGCTTGGCTGAGCACTGCTCTTGATGTAGCCTTGCTTTCTATCCCAAAATGCTGTTAATGAGGCGAATAAAAGGCTTAATAGGGGGGCGGATGTTATAAGCATCCCTATACGGTCTTATTGAGGAATGCATTTTTCATTAGCTGAGTTGACCTGATTTAGGGAACACACATACACACGCGCGCACTTCACTTCTCATTGGTGGACACAGGGCACACCTGCCGCTTTATCGCCCGACGACGGCACCACAAAAAGACACCGAGCAACGTGAACAGCCACACGCCAAATCGATCGCTAGCCAATAGATAGCGTGGGTGACTCATTCTATTAGTTCGAAAAACATCAGGTGATCAGCCATCAAGGAACCAAAAAATAGTTGTACTTATCGCAAGAATTAGGGCTAAATAAAGTGGCTCCTTTGCGCGTGCTCTGCTAATATATAGTTGTTCTTACCATTGATTTTAGCAAACTTATGATTGCATTACATCTGAGCCTTCTCTCCATTATAGACGCTCGATTTTGGCATTAAATGCGTCTTTCTACTGCCTAAAACAAGTAGCAAGTATAAAGCTTGCGCCTTCTCCCTGCGGCCTTAAAATTTAAACCAGCTTAACTCATACCTACTTTCCCAGTATTTTATTGAAACGGTGTTCTTTCTTATCAGAGAGTCTCTCTGAAAAGGGTAATAAGATAGTATCATTTATTAAATGCAAAGTAATTTGCTTATTCATACTGGAGCTGAAAAATAATTTTGTTAAGAAGTAAACACGAGTTCAGACCTTGATGCCACTTAGGCATTAAATAGTGCCTTAGCTCTAAAAGAGCTGGGCAATTAAGCACCACTTTTAAAGTGTTAACTAACACAATTTGTTATCTTATTTTAAGCTATCCTATTTAAAAGTTGCAGTGTTAAGTTTATAAATTCAGTCCAAACGCGTTCACTTGAGTTACGCCTTGCTAGCTCAGCTGCAATGCAGGTCGTGCTGTGGTAGATGTACAGCACTTCGAGGTCACAGATGGAGGCATGCGGGTAACCTGTCACCAGGACTCGATTACCTTGGTGTGAGTAAGTGTTTCGCGAGCAATAATTGGTACAAAATGTTATGAGAAAAATAATGAATCTCGAGACTTGGTAATGACAAAGGTTCACTTTACGATACGAGTTGTACCTTTGGCACTCCAACTTTATCATCCTTTTATGCTAATAATTTGCTATTTAACCCTATAGTCTCCTTTCAGCTCTTTCGTCTGAGTTAGCACTGAATTGAGAGGAGAAATGAGAATCATTAGGGTCATGCACGCAAGTGTAAAATCAACCCATCACAGGCTTAAAAGAGCACAGATTGTAAGTTCATGCAGGAACGTAGTATTACAAGTGAGCTTATTTTGCTTCTACATCACCTTTAAAGAGTCCTGCTGTTCTCGTTTCACAACACCTATTAACTATGCATGTCATCCTTCAAAGCCACACTAGAAGTTTAGAACACTAAAATCTATGATGAATACCTGGGATCCCGACTGTCTGAGCATTTCATTGGACTAATGATTTTATTACGTCTGCAAATTAGCAACAAGTTATGGGAAGTAGTACCATGGCGAGGTGAACACCTCCGCGATTAACATAATGTCACGTGGTCTGTTGAATTTAACGACCACTTCGGTGGTTTACAACATAACAAAGCTGTACTG